CTGACTTGAAGACTGCAGGATCTTCATCATCTGCTTCAAAGTCTGAAACTGGTGTGTTGGCCAGGTATTCCAGATGCAAGTTTTCAGGATTCCTTTGCCATACCCAGTAGTCATCCAAAATTTGTTCAGAGTTGTGGTTGACTGGTATTCCTAAGCACTTCTTGATGATCCTCTCATTCTTCAGTTGTTGGTCCCAATTCAACAGTTGCTCTGCTGAATTTCCAACTTTCCAGGCTTTCCAATCATAGTAGAGCTGCCAGAATTGGTTATCTGCATCATCTATTTGAGGTTGAGGTGATGAGGTTGGAAGGCTTTGGACTTGAGGAATTTCTTCTTCAAGTTGTTGAGGGCTCCGGTTTTGAGCAGAGGTTTCCTCAGCAGGTTCCTTCTCCTTCAACTCATCCGGATTGACATTTCCAGATGTTGATGGAGAGTTGATCTTCCTCTTCTTCTTCCTTTGTAGTTTTCCTTGGTCAGAGGATTCTTCTTCTTCAAGATTTATTGGAGCAAGATTCTGTGGTGCTTCGAGGGAGACACCACATGCTTTCTCTTGGCAGTCTTTGCGAAATTGATGAGTGGAACATTATCTGATGAGCTTTATGTAGGATCGTTTTCTGAAACTTCCCAGTGGGTCACCCATCCTGGGACTACTCCCGTTCCAGCTCGCTTAACTACAGAGTTCTGAAGTTAAAGAGATGCCAAATGCTTCCTAAAACCAATTGGTGATAGGGAGGTGGACACTTTGTATTTAACCACATCTCTCTGTAGCCCCAAGCCGAGGTAATTCCTATAGGGCACCCCCTATAGTTCACTACGGCAGTGCGGAGCCCCACTACTGAGCGGTGGATGGACAGGAGGGGCTTCGCAAGATACACGACTCGTGTACCTCGTCAGGTTGGGCTGTCAGTACCCGATACCGTGACTAGCACAGTAGCGAATCCCTAAGGGTGATCGATGGTCCCCCATAATGTTTTTTAGAACTTCCCAGTGGGTCACCCATCCTGAGACTACTCCCGTTCCAGCTCGCTTAACTACAGAGTTCTAAAGTTAAAGAGGTGCCAAATGCTTCCTAAAACCAATTGGTGATAGGGAGGTGGACACTTTGTATTTAACCACATCTCTCTGTAGCCCCAAGCCGAGGTAAATTCCTATAGGGCACCCCCTATAGTTCACTACGGCAGTGCGGAGCCCCACTACTGAGCGGTGGATGGACAGGAGGGGCTTCACAAGATACACGACTCGTGTACCTCGTCAGGTTGGGCTGTCAGTACCCGATACCGTGACTAGCACAGTAGCGAATCCCTAAGGGTGATCGATGGTCCCCCATAATGTTTTCTGGAACTTCCCAGTGGGTCACCCATCCTGGGACTACTCCCGTTCCAGCTCGCTTAACTACAGAGTTCTAAAGTTAAAGAGGTGCCAAATGCTTCCTAAAACCAATTGGTGATAGGGAGGTGGACACTTTGTATTTAACCACGTCTCTCTGTAGCCCCAAGCCGAGGTAAATTCCTATAGGGCACCCCCTATAGTTCACTACGGCAGTGCGGAGCCCCACTACTGAGCGGTGGATGGACAGGAGGAGCTTCGCAAGATACACGACTTGTGTACCTCGTCAGGTTGGGCTGTCAGTACCCGATACTGTGACTAGCACAGTAGCGAATCCCTAAGGGTGATCGATGGTCCCCCATAAGACCAACAATGTTAGACAAATGTGCAACTCTAGAGGGGGGGTGAATAGAGTTGTTTTCAAGAATGTGCGTTTTTCGCGTGTGTGAAATAATAGAATCGTAGGAATAAAATAAAGAGAGTAAAGGAAAGAAGAACACCGAGATTTATACTGGTTCACCACCTCGTGGCTAATCCAGTCTTCCGAGAGACTCTCTCGAAAGTCCTACTAATCTTCAAGCTTCAACGGGTGCTTGAAAAACCGGTACAACTTGAGAACTTGAATCACACAAGCCTCACTTTCTTACAACAACAAGACTTGAGTCACACAAGTCTTAAGAACAACACTCAAAAGAGATTGAGTTTACAACACAAGAATGAAAGCTCACACAATTGAGCAAGTAGTGTTTGAAAGATTTAAGCTCTGTGGATGACAACTTCTTTAGCACTCAAAGAAAATATTTCTAACTCTCAAAAATAATATTTTGATGAGGAAGATGAAGCAAAGGATGAATATAGCTCAAAGAATATATTGGAGTGCAAGAGGTGTGTATTGAAATGAAGGAGAATGAGGGATTAAATAGGCTGAGGAAAATAAAGCCGTTGAAGAAAGCTGATGATCTGTACCAGAGAGAATTAATCGATTAAATTAGGAATTTTAATCGATTAAAGTGTACAGAAGCGAAAAGGCTTGAAACCAAAAGTGGAATTAATCGATTAAAAATGAGGGAATAATCGATTATTCTGTTCTGTTTGAACTAATCGATTAAATGAATAATTTTAATCGATTAAGTTGATTTGCCTGAGAAAAACAACGCTGTGAAATTGGATCTAATCGATTATTTTAGAGTAAATAATCGGTTAAAGTAAAAAATAATGCGCAAACATGAAGGGCCCAAGCCAAGCGCAATTGGAAGCCCTTTGGCTTCTAACTCGTTGTTTGAGACAGCGAGAATAACAAAGCGCTCCTCAAAGAAACAATATCCCTTATTCAATGAATTTGAATAGGGGAGAAAAGTTGAGTCCAAAAATTATTTTGTGTGTCAAACGATGTATACGAAAAATATTTAAAGTATATTTTTCTTACCCAAAAAAAATGTGTAATCTTTAAAAAGAATGTTTTTAAGAAATTTTGACACACTTATTTTGAAACTGACTCAGTAAAAAATATTTTAGACAGAGGAAAAGTAATTTTTCAACTGACTCAAAAATAATAATTTTTATCCCTCAGAAAATAATTTGATTGTGCAGAAGATAATGTCATCCTTACAAAAATTCCTAGAATAAAAAAGTCTTCGGAGTCTTCACTTCACTTCAAAAAAAAATCTGCGTAGGGGTGGTCGTCGATTTATATCGCCGTAAACTTCTTGATATCCTTCTTTGCTTTTTTCGATACGAAAAATAAGTTTTCGATCAGCTGGAAATTCATCATCCTGTTTGTCATTCATCAAAACAAAAAATATTCTAGAAAAAAGGGTTTTGAACTCATGTCCAACACTTTCTTCTGCAGTGGCACTAGCACTAGCTCTGTTTTCTCCTTTGGAGGATAAGTAGTATAGCCAGTATCTGGCTTCATACTTTTTCCCTTTAACTGCAGCGCCCATAGATTCCAAAATATGTCCAATATACAGACCTTGACAGAGATACTTCTGATTGTGCTTTCCTAGATGTTTTGAAATGGATTTGAAAAAGTGTGCAGCCCAGTTTACCTTAGTTTTGGTAATGAGAGAGTTGATGATGAAGGCTCTCTCATGGGTGATGTCATCGGCATGACCTCCACTTCCACACTCGAGGCAAGCGATGACCAGTTCCAAAACCAACTTGTAATCGTTGTTTAGATCTGCTTTCTTCGCTGGGCCAGAAGGAACTTGCCCAGAGATTCCAATGATGTTCCAGTCCAGATTTTTGACTGGAAATTTCCCAACTTCAACTCCAGAATTTGGAAGGCGAAGCTTTTCTCCCAATTTCTTTTGCGAAAGCTTCACTTTTGTACCTCCAACAGTGGACTTGATGACTAGAA